ACGAGGAAACCAATGCATGTAATCAGTCAAGTTCATTTCACAGTTGCGTTCTCAACACATTGCCTAATCTCCTGCAGAGCTTCGCTATATAGAATATACCTTTGGAGTCATGTGTTAAGATGGCTACCTGACTGTAGACTTTCCGTGTAGACTTGAAAGCTGGCATAGGATGATGACTAGTACTGACAACCACACAGTTCTATAGCAAACTGAAGAACTTAGAATAAGGTGTTTTCTTAAGGTAGATGCTATAGCTATGAAGAGACTAGCTTCTCTTATCAGCAGTTGAGTGAGATGACTCATACATACTAGGCATTAGATGATTTTTTTTTTACCATAATCATTATGGATCTTTCTGTGAATTACAGTGTTTCTAAGATTAATGCAAAGGTGGGAAAAATCCAGCCCCTTCACTGGAACCTGGCTTTTTGGCACTTTGTTTGAAACCACTCTGGACGTCACTGTGGGGGTGGATATTGCTGTTATGGTGGCTCCAGAAATACTGTGGGCACAAGTCTGGCTATGGATATAGCTGTTATAAAATATGTTATACATCATGCCGATAGAACATCATTGTACAACATGTCTGTAAAGTGTTACAAGAGGCTGGATACCACTGAACACTTGGTGCTCTTGTAGAGGAACCAAGTTAAGTTCCCCAGCATCCATATCAGGTGGCTTACAACATCCTGTAACTCTTGTTTTAGGGGGGTCTGATACCCTTTTCTGGCCTCTGTGGCCATCTGTACTCATGTGTACATACCCATGTAGAGACACACATACAATACACATAATTAGAAATAAGATAAATCTTTTAAGAAGCAAAGTATTTCAAGATTAACATTTCTCCACGAAAAGCACCCCATTCTATCATTTCTGCATTCACACACAGATTAGACAGCTAATTAATTTCAGAGAAGTTGTTGTTGAGAGAATATATATGCTTCCATTATGGGTATCAACGACTGAAGATTGTTGATTATGTGCAAAATGTAAATTAATGTTTCTTGTTTCTCTTTTATGCTTTTTGTGTGGTAAATAAATGCTTCATAGTTGGAAAAATAATGCTTTTCCAGTCAGTGCATTTCATTTGTTTTGGCAAGAATTTGCGTCCTTCCTGTCAGTCATGACTGACTGGAGCATCATTGGGATTCTGGAAGGTTGAGGAAACACTGTGACTGTGGTAGTGGGAACTCAGGTCTACTTACTGCTTCTCTGAAGTTTCATACTATCTGCTCTTTCATCAGCACCACATGGTTTTGCTTAGTGCAGCTTGTAGTTGAATTTGCACATTTTCACACTTACATACATTTTTACACACATATATGAATGTACACATCTGTATTTACATACATATTGTTGTGTGCCTTTTGCTAAGGGGAAACTCCAGGTACAGCAGTCAGGCTCCCAAAGATTTCCTCATACATACTTGTCCAACAATATCTTCTTCCCTTTATTATCTCTACCACAAATCTAGGAATATCAATACTTCCCTCAATGTGTGTATGTAACCTCTCTTGAGAAAGCTTAAGTCTGCATTCATAATTAAAGATAAATGCTTGCTAGGCGGCGGTGGCACACGCCTTTAATCCCAGAGGCAGAGGTAGGCGGATCTCTGTGAGTTCGAGGCCAGCCTGGGCTACAGAGTGAGTTCCAGGAAAGGCGCAAAGCTACACAGAGAAACCCTGTCTTGAAAAACCAAAACAACACAAACCAAAAAAACAAAAAAACAAAAAAACAAAACAAAACAAAACAAAAACAAAAACAAAACCCAAAAAAGAGATAAATGCTCAAAGTTCATATATCAAGGGGTAAATTTGAAACTGAAGCAGCAAGTTAAAAATTGTTATAGTTTTTCCTTTATATTCTGGACCTATTACCTGAGAGCAATCTTATGTATCTCCACTACTGATACATAAACTACTACAGAGAGTACTTGTCATGTATGGAATACTACAAGTTGGTTATTGCCCACCCAAGAATCTACATGTCCTCTGTCTTCTAACCCATCTCTCCACTTAGTCTTTTTGTGATCCACTTTCCCAGCCCTCCAGACAGAGACAACACTGTCTGATGATCACTCACTCACCATTTGTGCTGTAGAGGAAGGTCTTTCTTCTTCAGTAACTGCATAAAAAGGTATTTTTTGGGTTATTAATTTGCCAGGCTTATGAAAGTATAATTGATATAAAGAGTCATGTTGTGAGATATTTGTACACAGTGTGAGGACATATTACTGTGATTGGTTTGATAAAAAACTGAATGGCCAATAGGTAGGCAAGAGGTATAGGTGGGACTTCGGCAGAGAGAAAGGAAGTAGGAGATGAATCTAGGTGCATGTCAGACACCAGTGAGACATGGAGGGAGCAGACATACAGAATGAAAGGAATGTAGAAAGCCAGGAGGCCAAACATAGATTAAAGTAAATGGGTTAATTTAAGTTATATGAGCTAGCGGGAAAAGGCTAGGCTAAGGCCAGGCTTTCATAATAAATAAGTCTCCATGTTATTATTTGGAAGCTAGCTGCCAGAACAGAGAAAGACTCATTACAGAATACACTTATTTAACATATTTAACTTTGGAGGTTTGGATAAATGACTACATCCACAGATTCATCATGGCAACCAAAGTGCCAACACACTCATTAATTCCAAAAGTTTCATGTTTTGGTTTGATTTTTTAATACAAGAATATGCAAAATTATTGTGGGTAAATATATTTGGTGGATGTTATTTTGAAGAGGACACAAAGGAGGATTGAGAAATGGTGTGCAATGACAGGATCTCATGACTTGACATTTGTGAACTCACATATTTATTTCGGTGGTGAAAAATACTTTAAAACCTACTTTAAAAATTATTTTACTTGAGGTGTATGTTGTGTGTGTGTGTGTGTGTGTGTGTGTGTGTGTGTGTGTGTGCACATGTGCAAGTGTGCTCATGGTATCTGCAGTGCTCATCAAGGCTGGAAGAGGGTCTGATCCCCTGGAGCTAGAGTTATACAGATGGTTGTGAGCTACCGTATATGAGTGCTAGGAGTTAAATTCAGGTCCTCTGTAAGAGCAGTAGGTTTCTTAACTGTTGAGCCATCTTTTCAGACTCCCTAAAACCCACCTTTTGGCAATGATGAGATACATAGCACATTCTTATATAAGCACCATTCATTTGGGCAAGGCATTAAAGATTGTCCATAATAATTAATTGAAAATTTGTATGTTTTCATTAAAACTTTCCTTCTTTCAACCACCATCCTCATCTAAAGTAAATACTGACTGTTATTATTTCTCTGAGGAGCTCTGGTCTACATACGGCATGGACACAAGAGTGCTCTGACTAAGCTTAAAGAGTTGGTTTTAGGAAATGGGTTTAATTATACTCCAACTATAAAGTTGCTGGATGGGTAATGATCCTCCCTGTAAACAGAGTCCATTGTGACTACTTATCTGATCATTATAAATGGTAAATTTTTAAATAGAACAAACTTAGGGGACTTTAACACAAAGACTTGTAATAAAGAAATGACAGCTTGAGGAGGAGAGCACTGACAAGCTTCTGACAAGCTTGTGATGGCAACCTGCAATGTGACAGCTACTCTCCTTTTTTAAAATTAATTTTAGGTTCATAATAGAATCTTGATAGCTGTATTACAATATCTCCCTGAAATATTTATACATCAGGTTCAGTGCTGTGGGATGGTCTGTATGTCAAATTGCTCTGATTGGTCAATAAATAAAACACTGATTGGCCAGTGGCTAGGCAGGAAGTATAGGTGGGACTAACAGAAAGGAGAATGGAGAGAACAGGAAGGTGGGAGGAGTCACTGCCAGCCACCGCCATGACAAGCAGCATGTAAAGATGCCGGTAAGCCACAAGCCACGTGGCAAGGTATAGATTTATGGAAATGGATTAATTTAAGATATAAGAACAGTTAGCAAGAAGCCTGCCACGGCCATACAGTTTGTAAGCAATATAAGTCTCTGTGTTTACTTGTTTGGGTCTGAGCGGCTGTGGAACTGGCGGGTGACAGAGATTTGTTCTGACTGTGGGTAAGGCAGGAAAACTCTAGCTACAGTTCAGTACCCTGTTTAAGATCCCTTGAACATTTTCAGAGAACAAAAATTTCACATTGAGTTGTAGCTAGAATTTTTCTGCTCCTGCCTGGCCCCATTCTTATATCTTAACCCATTTCTATAAATGTATATCTTGCCACATGGTTCATGGATTACCAGTATCTTACATGTTGGTACTCATGGCTGCGGCTGGCAGCGTCTCCTGACTCAGCCTTCCTGTTCCCAGAATTTTCTTCTCTGCTTGTCCTGCCTATACTTCATACCTGGTAACTGGCCAACCAGTATTTTATTTATACAGAGCGATATCCATAGCATTGAGTCTCACATGTATCATAGTTGTGGGGTTTCATGGTCTGGGAGGTTTTTTTTTTTTTTCTAAATACTAAAACTGAACTTTTATATGGCTGTTATCTTGTTGATTAGAGGATCTTCAGCTTAGAGGTCACTTCTGCATCTATAGTAGTTGAATCAGTGTTAAGGCACAAAATTTCCTGTTATGTAATGAAAGATTTAAAGGTGCATACTGATCCGATCCCAGCATGACTCCCAGAGCAGAAACATTTAAAGAATATTCCTAAGAAACATTCAGTAGACACCCTTATCATGGAATCAATTGATGAAGATAGCATGAAGTTAAAGGCAAAGATGAAAATAGAATCCCAGAAAAGTCGACCACCACACATACCACATCTGCAGAAACCTATCAAAGCAATGGCATTAAATATCCTGCTGAAATGGTGTTTTGGAGCAGAGAAACGAGAGTAGGACCAGGAGAATTAGGAGGAATGGTTCAACTTAGAAGGTTCTCATGAACAATGTTATATATATATATATATATATATATATATATATATATATATATATATATATATTAGTATTTAGTCTGAAAACACTTAAAATCAGTTCTTCCAGAAATGTCTGTAAATATGATTCATGGTTTTTTACCATGGTCAGCATGTGCTGTGCAATAGGGCTCTAAATAATGCTCCTTGTACTTAGAACTCCAGTATTTATCCTACTGATCCATGAGCATGGGAAGTTTATCCATCCTCTGTTGTCTTCTTCCATTTCTTTTTAAAGGTCTTAAGTCTTTACTATACAGTTCTTTCATTTGCTTTGATAGTTACTGATAAATTGTGAAAAGTACTGTTTGTCTGATTTCTTTCTCAGTATGTTTGTCGTTTGTATATAGAAAGACTATTGATTTTTGTTTGTCAATTTTGTATCCTGCTGCTTTGCTGAAACAATTTTTCAGCTGTAGAAATTTTCTAGTGAGGTCTTTGACTTCCATATGTATAAAATCATATCGTCTGCAAATGAGGATAATTTGACTTCTTCCTTTTTTATTAGTCTCTATCTGGCCTTTTTCAATTGTCTTATTGTTGTAGCTAAGACTTCTAGTATTATATTGAGCAGGTATGGACATCATTGGCTTGTTCCTGGTTTTAGTGGGAATGCTTTGCGTTTCTCTCTGTTCAGAATGATGGTGACTGTGGGATTGCCGTAAATTGGTTTTATTGTGTTGAGCTGTGTCCCTTACATACTTAGTCTCTTAGAACATACTCTTTGATCAAAATCTTTCATTTACCCATCTACTCCACCCATATGGAAGTAGTCACTGTTGGCTACTTATATTTTAGAGAAAAGTAATTATATTTATTTATATACTGAATTAGTATGAGTGTACTTTGAGTAATTGCCAAGATTGACTAATGTTTAAGAATTTGATTTAAGTGAAACACAACAATTTAAAAAATAGAGCCAAGATATTTTCAACCTTTTAGGTGATAACCCTTGGAAATATTTGTCAGTGGATGATAAGACTAAGTCTCATTTCGTAACTGATGCATAAGGAACTTAATCGAAAGAGTTCATTCAGGGAATGATGGAGTTAGTAAGTCTTCCTTCAGAAAGAACTGAGTTATGGCTGTAGATGTAGGTTCAAAACTCAAGTCTTTGTCAAAACTCTATGAAAGGTAATTTGGACTGATTTGTATGATGAAAACTAAGTTGGTGCAATGATTCTTCCTTAACAGCAGTTAATGGGGATAGTTAATGACTCTCCTTACCATTAATGAGGTTATACAGTTGATATTTCCAAAGACCTTGAAAAACACAATCACAAACACATGTTAATTGGTCATACATATTTGGTGATGTGCTATGTTGTGTCATGGTCATGAACTGACTTTATAGAGGACAAGTTATAGTTTCCTAAGCTTTGCTGTTCAGAAAATGTATTATTATTATTATTTGAATGCTTGTTTGAGTTCCTAGGGTAGTAGTAAGTAAATTGTGAGTTCCTAACAAAACTTCCAGAGAATGAATTCCTTCTGGAAACATGGTTGTAAAATGAGAGAGCAGAGCCCATGTGAGGCATGAGCCATCAATCTGTAGGGTATAAAAGTCCGGGGAGACTGGATGACATTCACACTTCAGAAACATCCCTCTGCTTCTCAACTGAAACCTCACCTCTCAACACCATGTGCTGCAACTACTACGGAAACTCCTGTAGAGGCTGTGGATACAGCTCTGGCTGTGGATATGGCTCTGGCTATGGCTGTGGATATGGCTCTGGTTATGGCTGTGGATATGGCTCAGGCTATGGCTGTGGATACAGCTCTGGCTATGGATGTGGATATGGTTCTAGGTATGGCTGTGGATATGGCTCTAGTTGTGGGTCTGGTTCTAGATATGGCTGTGGATATGGCTCTGGCTATGGCTGTGGATACGGCTCTGGCTATGGCTGTGGATATGGCTCTGGGTGTGGTTATGGTTCCAGGTTTGGCTATGGATATGGCTCAGGCTGCAAGAGCTACAGAAAATGCCATTCTTCATGCTGCTAGTTCCAACCACAATTCCTCCTTCACTCTGGGAACAAGCAATGTAAGAGCAAGCTGAACTAGATGTGACACAAGTGTGTGCCTGCATCCATCCCCTGCAAGCCCAAGGAATGACTGAGAACTGTGTGCCGGGCAGCTGAAAACATCTCACAATACGCAGTTGCTCCTGATATAAACTGAAGAGTCTGACTCATTACAAAGATGGATTTTATTTTCCTGGGTTTTGGACTATAACTGTCTTTTTGAGCCTGTGATGCAGCTGTCTTCACAAGCACAGAAGAAATGTACAATTGGAATATACAAATGTGGGGGAAATGCCGGTTTCTGAATAAAATAATTAATTCATTTACCATGAAGTCTGGATTCTTCTGTCAGCATTATCTTTAATTATTATATACTTGAAAACTAACATTTTTGAAATATGTGAAATAAGAAGTCTTAGAGTGCATAAAATATGCCAGAACCCAAACCATTGGAAAGGACTAGGATTTTTCTTCCTGCTGTTGCTCTATTACTTTTATGATCATGTTTCAAAGAGGGTGATGAATGTGACCCCCATTTTGCTCATGATCTAGGCATGAAAACAAGGATGGTGGATGGTGAGGGCAAGCAAAGCTTACTGAGAACCTTGGTTTACATTTTTGGAAAAGGAATTGCCTACCTTCTGCTCATCTATATTTGCCTAACACACGCTCCTGTGGCCACTGACAGTTAAAGGCGGCTGAGCAGAGGAGGTGTGTGAGCAGCTGCCATGTCAGCCATCCAGCGTGTTCTGAAATCTGATAGATTTGGGGTTCTGGGGAGAAGAACAAAGATCTAAGTGAACAAAAGTTTAGTGAACAGGTGACTGATGGGAATTCTGACTGTGCAGGCACACACTTGTGTCACATACAGGGTAGAAGAGTGAGCTGAATAAACCACCCCTTTCCCATTAGATTATTGTTCCCACGGGCTTTTTGTGCCCTTTCAAATGTCACTATTTTTCCTGCAGTTTTGTTTTGATTTCTATTCATTTCCCCATCATCCATTTTCAGCCATTTTTCCAATTTATTCTATCACATTTCAACACCTGCCAGCTGGTCCCCAGAGAAATGATCATTCTATAAGTTGCATATACCTACTATGCAAGTATAAAACCTGGAAGCCTCCAAATGTGAAAGGGTTCATTTGTTGACCACTGGAAAATTCTATACTGCAAAAATTTATGTTGTGCCGAAAAATATTAGCAACAAAGAAAAACATTGGCTTCACACTATGTGTGCTAGGATTATTTGGAATGCAATGAGTTCTCTGTCTAGATATGAATCCCATTTGTATGACATCTTATTTTGTGTATATAAATATTGAAAAATGCAAAATATATTAGTGCTAGTGGGTAAGGGACATCTTAATCTCTGTGCATTTCAGGTGGTGAAAACATATTAGCTATCTTTGAAAAATCTTTTTTTTTTATCATTAAGCATGCTTTGTCTTGAAAGATTCATCTTTGCTACCATGTGCCCATTTGGGCATAGACATTTGTAAATAGGAGGGGTTTATGATAAAGACAATTACATCTTGTACTTACCTATATTTGTTATTTCTATTTGCTTCATGGTTCTCCACGTGTCACAGACACAGAAGTTTGCCATTCCATAATCATAAAGAGTCATAAAAATCTACCCTCTTTTGCTCTTACCACAGAACTGCTAGAAATGTTCAGAGAGTGAAAGACTTTGAAACATTCAACCCTAAACGGGAGGTCTGTATCCCCTCAAGGCTCATGGACTCATGTAGAAAAGGAGGCAAAAAGATTATAAAAGCCAGAGGTGATGGATGGCTTCCAGGAAATCATGTTTTCCAGACTCCATAGGACTGATGCACATATGAACTAACAGAGACTGTGGCAGCACACACAAGGCCTGTACTGGTTCAAACCAGATGTGATTCCAGTACTGAGAAAAGGAAGTGGACACACGATCCCATTCTTAACCAAGAAGCTATCTAAAATAGATACCCACCAGCAAAGGAAAAATTCATTTTCTCCAATGGAGTCTCACTGTATGTGTTATCTACACTTCAGAATAGGGTCAATACCCAGGAGTATTTCACCAACACAAAGTGAACTTATTTTATTTTTGTCTTGCTTTTTTTTGGGCGTGTGTGTGGTATTTTGCTTGTATATTTTAATATCTGGTTTGCTGGAATGTTTTTTTCTTTTAAAGAATAGAGAGGAAAAGGTTGTGTGGGTAGAAAGGTGGGGACGATTCTTGGAGAAGTTGGAGGAGAGGAAAAGATAAAAGTATTTTATGAAAACACGTAAAAAAGCCAAAAAATTCTACATTTCACTCATTTGTTAAAATATTTATGTTTCACATTTGGATCATTAACCTCCAAGAAGCTTCCTTTTTATATTTAATTTCAGTTTCATATCTATCTATGTTGAGAAGGTTTTCTCTGCATAATCTGCTAGGCAGCAAATCATTTCAATTGATTGGCCATTCCTCTTTTATGTGATGACTCTGTGTTATTAGTGTGTTTTCACATTTATCTCTAACTGCATATTAAGCTCTTTCATTTTATGCATATTATTCATATTATGAATATTTTGCATATTTATGCATATTAAAATCTTACTTTTTTGTGTATGATGTGGAATTAATTACCACTGAAAAGAATTACATCAACTGTTAGAATTTAATGCAAAATACTCTTCACAATATGAGAAGTTTCTGAAATGTTTAGAGGGGTGTAAAAACAGAAGAGCTTCCCTTCATGTCTTGTCATGAAGTGATTCAATTTTTGGGATCTCTACTTGTTGTAAGGTTGAGTAACTTTTCACACTTAAAATGCAAGCTTAGTTAATTAATCCTTCTCAATCACTTCTACATTCTGTAAGGGAAGAATAAATGAAAAACACATTCAAAAAAATAGAGTAAGGACTATGTGTTCAGCAAATCAAGGAAAAATGATGCTCAGTTATTTGTGGATTTATGAGGAATAATATTACATTTTTGATGAACTTTGAAATAATCTACTTCCATCATTTATAGGTTTCCATTAATAATTAAATAATCTAAGTAATAGCAGCCATAGCTTCAATCAAAATGATTAGAATTATCTAATCACTAACACTCAATGCTTAACTGAGTAATAAGACATCACCCACCTCTTTGCTGCCCAACAGAAACTCACTTTACAATTAACAACATGATCTATTAAAAGTGAATTTATGTAAGTGGCAAATAATAGCAAGTGAGAAGAGATTATCATGAGAAATAGACAGAAATATAAAACAGAATGAAGAATGTTGCATATTATGATATGGGGATTCGTTAATAGAAATATATAATAATTCCATTAGTATATCCCAAAATCAGAGCAGATAAGATATATTAATCAGGCACAATAGGATATATGCAGAAGACAGTGTTTGTAGTGACCCTTTCCATTCTCTGGAACCTACAATATTTTTCACCCTCTTTTGTGATTATGCTTCCTGGGCATTTAAGAGGAGTGATACAGATGTCTCATTTAGGGCTGATCACTCAACTCTCACTTTTCCTTATCAAATATTTTAAGGTCTAAGGTAAAACCATTTATAACATTTCCAGAGAATTGAAGAGTAGGGGACTCTGCCATATTTGTTATTTGTTTAATGAGTCCAGTGGTTTTATTATTGTTGTTTTTTGTTTTTATAACCAAAGGAAGATAGAGTATGGTAAGCAAACAAGGTAAGAGGCTAGCATTTTTGATGCACACAGATGTGGAAATCTTCTACAGTTAGCAAACCAAAACCCATAAGGCATCATGAGAATCATTTCCCATGGACAAGTGGAATTTGTCCTGTTATGGTAGGATGGTTTGCTACACTTGAATAAACAACAGAACACACCATGTTAACACAATGAAAGGCAAAACTCATGTAATAATAGTACCAGATGTAGAAAAGACAAAGAAAAATACTTGTCACAGTCTACAATAAAAAACTCTCAACTATTTTGATCTGTAGTCAGTTTACCTGAACACATTAAAGTGTACATACTGGGTCTGATGCTAACATTATATTCAACAGGGAAAATCTGAAGCCTTTCCTAAAGGATGCCCATTCCTGCCATACCTGTTCAGGAATGTAACAGGTGACTGAGTTGTATGGCCTGAGAAAAGAAAAGTAAGACATCAGAACAGAAGGAAGGGGGCTGTATTATTCATTACCTCCCACCTCCATGTGTATAACATGTGCACATATGTTTGCTACGTGTAGAAAGGAGAAGACAGCTTTTAGTGACATTCCATTCCCTTTTTTGGGGATAGGGTCATCTCATTGGCCTGGGGTTAGGCTTGTGAGCTTCAGGGATTCCCCTCTCTCCAGTTCCCCCTTACTGGGTTAGGCCTTTGTACCACCTTGACTTTTGTTTTTGCTTTTGTTATATGGGTAGCCTCCTAGCCATATATATGGAACCAGATGACAATGTCATCTGTCCTCTCTTCCTTCATCATAGGCTGTCACTTATGAAGCCTTTTATGATCCTATGCCTGTTTCCAAAATGCACTGCTGATTGTCACTATGTTTCCGGCAGGTTAGTCCCACTTTTCTAATGACTACACAGCAAGGCGTGTTTGTTTGTGTATTTGTTCATCAGCCTTATGGAGACATCACTCATATAAAGTGCGTGAATGTAATGCATATAAATTCCTGACTTTAGAGCTATGCTTGCACATGCAAATCTGTCATGTATAATTAATCAAACATATTAATCCCTGTCAAATTTCCTTATTCTGCTTTTTTTTTTAAAAAAAAAATCATGACAGGAATATTTAACATGATAGCTGCTTCTCACGGATTTCAAAGTGCCAAGTACCCCATTGTGGAGTGTAGCACAGATTTCAGTCCATTTGTTAAATGGGAATGATGCCTTTTATAAAGTGTCGTCCTGTAAGCATTTGCTAGACTTTCTTAGATGACCATATTCATAATACATTTAAATTCTTATCTTTCATGGAATAATGATTTTGTGTTGAATTGTCTGTTACTGTCTCATATGTGGCTTACAACTACTGACTAGACTTAGAATTATTTGAAGATTTTTATACTGAGGTGTGATTGTGTGCATATGACAGCTGAGCCAGGGGTAGTACACATTTACAGTGAGCAGAAGAGTGAAAAAGGTTCAAGGTGAAGATCTTGAAAAAGGTTCAAGCTCAAGATCGCTAAGAATGAGAGACAAGTAATTTATGGAAACCCATCACTATAGAAATAGTGGGAGAAAAAGGTAATTAAGCACATACTTTTTAGATAAAAGTAGAGATCTCCTATAAGTTATGGCCATTTATGGAGACGAGATCATATGCATACTTAACAAACATGCTTCTGCCCCCTTGGCCAAAACCACCTTTTTTTTTTTGGTTTTTCAAGACAGGGTTTCTCTGTGTAGCTTGGCGCCTTTCCTGGAACTCACTTGGTAGCCCAGGCTGGCCTCGAACTCACAGAGATCTGCCTGTCTCTGCCTCCCGAGTGCTGGGATTAAAGGCATGCGCCACCACCGCCTGGCCCAAACCACCTTTTATAGATGCCTTGAAGCACACAGCATGGTTATTTGCTATAATAACCATTCCAGGCAACAAGACACTAAGTCACTCTGCTTCTAGTTATATTTCCATACCATTTGATTGAGATGTCATTTACATATACTCTCCACTCATCCAGAATAATTCTTATATATTAATCACACTGTATAAGGAAGCATGGAAACACTGACCAAATCTAAGTGTAGATTGAGTAATCTCACAAAAATTGACCTGCTTAATTTTTTTTTCCACTCAATTTGTCTAAAAACTGAACAAGTAACTTACTGAACCAAAACATTTTCAACTCTCCACATGGAAACTTTTGGATCCATTCACCTTTAAACTGAATGAGATAAATATACTCAGAAGCCAATGCATAGGAATTTAATAACATGTTTTGAAAGAGAAAGAAAGAGAAGTACAAAACCCACCTACAGAAGGACAGACAGATGAGACTTCCATAAGAGGGAAGGAGGAAGCTTAAAAAGTGGTTGTAGCGAGTTAGAATATACTTCTTTGTCCAGAATCCATGAAAAGGAATTTCGAGATTTGTTGATGGGGAGGATGAATCATGAGGAAAGGAGAACAAGTCACAGAGTGAAGCTCCAGCTGTTACTGTTGGTGATGCTCTTAACTCTAAGTATACAGCATGTGATAACGAGGACTTCAATAATATAGTGAAAAACACATCTTCACAGGTTCCACATAGGCTGGTGATGTTTTCTGTTATGTCATGGTCATAAAATGACTTTATGGAGAATAAATTATGATGCATAAGTTTGAGTGTTCAGAAAATATATCTATTTCTTTAAATGTTTGTGTGAGTTCCTGAGAAGTAAATTGTGAATTCCTAACATGACTGTTCAGGGGATGAGTTAACTTCAGGAACATGGCTGTAAAAAGAGAGAGGAACCCATGTGATGGCATGAGCCATCCAGTCCTGTAAGTATATAAAGGTCTGAAGAGACTGGATGGTAGCTTCACTTCAGAAATATCTGACCTCTCAACTGAAACTTAAATCTCTCAACACCATGTGTTGCAAATATTACAGAAACTCCTGTGGAGGCTGTGGCTACAGCTCTGGCTCTGGCTGTGGATATGGCTCAGGCTATGGCTGTGGATATGGCTCTGGCTGTGGATATGGCTCCAGGTACGGCTGTGGATATGGCTCAGGCTATGGCTG